ATTTGGAAAAATTTTGGGATTTTTTTTGCGTTTTTCTGATTTTTTTTTTAATTTTGGGGGGTCAAAAACCTAAAATTTTCAAAATCCGAGATAGCAATTTTGTAGCGCCGCCTTTTGTCTACATGACCATATAAAGAACTTTGAAATTGATTGGTAACTGTAGATGTTGTGAACGTTTCAAGTTATCATGCTTTTGCTCATTTTTTCTCGAACATGACCTCAGTTTGACCTTAATAACTCCTGACCTAAGGTGACGTTAGACTTGAAATTTTGTATGAAGGTGTCAAATTGATGCCCGAGAAGGTACTGAAAATTTGGCGGCGCTGGGCGCCGCCGTTTTCTTGCTATTCAGGAAAAACCACGGGGGGGGGCAAATTGGCCCCCTCCCCCAGCGGGGCCGCCCGTGTTGGTGTTTTTCCAGCCGCGAACGTATGGGAGGGGCGGGGGGGCCTGTTGGACCTCCCCCTTGCCGTTTCGCCCCTGATCGAGCTAGAGCCTTGCGGAAAAAACGAGCGCGTTGCCCATGACCAGGGGAAGCCGATGATACCCAATTTTAAGGTCCTAGGTCATTGGTTGACCTTCCAGGTCAGGTCAATGTCCCAAAAGTCGGGAAAATCGGGAACTGTTAAGTGTCGTAAAGTGTGACTGCTTAGGAGTTTTCGGGGTGCTGATCACGAATGTCACGTTAGTTTTGATCACAGATGATGTCCTCATGCATTTAGGCTATGTCGGGTCAGGTCAGGTCAGGTCAACCAGTAGGGATCCTGTCAGGTATTCGTAGTAGGTGTCAACCGCCTCTGACAGCTTTTTAACATGTTACGATGGCACCAAAACTACTTCGTTAATGTTCATATGGTTGCTAAATTCCAATTCAGCTCCAAAAACTAGCATATAAACATGTAAAACTCTAAAAAGTGAATCGAGGTGCCGCTTTTTACGCGCGTTATTCGCGAAAAACCGAGGCGGTGTGGCCCGTTCGACCCCCCCCCCCCCATACGGGCGAGGGTTAACATGACATTGACACCCACTCTTATCCATGGGACAAGCAGCATTCCACGATGGTGCGTTTCCAACTGCCAAAAAGCATGAACCCTCGCCAGACCTATTGGTTTTCTGCATACCCGGGGGGGGGGGGGTAGGCCCTTCGCCGTTTCAACCCTGATTGGGCTAGAGCCCCGAGAAAAAAACGAGCGCGTGCGCCGTTACGAGATGCAGCGACTGGTACCTTACTTTAAGGTATTCAAGTCAACCGGTGACCTCTGAGGTCAGGTTAAACCCGCGCCCCGTAGGGTGGGGGCTGAAACGGCCCCCCTGTCCTTTTCCGTCGATATCTCCTAAACGGCTGAAGATATCGCCACTAAACTTTCAGGACCCCTCCGGGCATCAATTTTACACATTGTGACTAAAACAATTTCTAGCGGCTATGATAGGTTGGCCACAAATGACGTCAGAATGACGTCATGTTCTGCCATTTTCGACCGAAAAAAGACCTTCGCGAGAAGAGCTGTCAGGCCTTCAGCTTTGGGGATACAGAAAAATGAGAAGGACATGAAAGGTGTAAAATTGACAGGGCTACAAAACTGCTATCTCGATTTTTTGAACTTTTGAGTTTTGACTCCCAAAAATAAAAAAAGCATTTTATTGGATATATTAGGCAAAAAATCCAAAAAGTTTTTTTGAATTTCGAAAAAACGGAATACATGTGATAGTACCTACCGTCTTCTATCTACATACCAAGCGGCCGATCGCGACGAAACTTTCAGTACCCTCGCATTGATCAATTCTACACCTACCCTGAAAATTTCATGACCCTGACCCAAATGACCTTTGACCTGTGACCTCTTTTCCGAGACCATGTTTGGCCGGAATCGTGATTCCGCGTATGTCGGCTCGCATTAGCCGCGCGTTTGCAAGCTTTTCGTGGTTTCAAACGTTCAAACATGTGATTGATGCTGCTCCCATGCATTAGGATGGGTGTCAAGGTCAGGTCATTGACCTTTGGTGACCTTGGGTGACCTTGGCTCACTTTTTCGAGTTTTACATGTTTCTAGGCTAGTTTTTGGAGCTGAATTCGAAGTTAGCAACCATTTGAACATTTACGAAGTAGTTTTGGTGCCTTCGTAACATGTTACGAAGCTGTCAGAGGCGGTTGACACGTACTACGAATACCCGTCACGACGCCCACTGGTTGACCTGACCTGACCTGACCCGACCTGGTCTAAATGCTTAAAGACATCATCTGTGATCAACACTAATACGATATTCGTGATCAGCACCCCGAAAAAACCCCTTAGCTGGCAGCCCCTTAGCAGCCACACTTTACGACTTTCTGATAGGTCCCCGATTTTCCCGACTTTGGGTCATTGACCTGACCTGGAAGGTCAACCAATGACCTAGGACCTTAAAATTGGGTATCATCGGCTTCCTCTCGTCACGGGCAACACGCTCATTTTTTTCCGCGAAGCTCTAGCTCGATCAGGGGCCAAACGGCAAGGGGGGGGGGGGGGTCCAACCGATCCCCCCCTACACATTAGAAGGTGGCAAACGCCGCACACATGCAAGGGTTAAACTAGGTTTAGATCGTTCCCGGCGCCATAATAACAGTTTCCATATTTCCCACATTTATTTATAATGGTGAGGTCACGTGACCGACCTGACCTCATTTGACCGATTGGAAAATCCGAGATATACAAGTTGTGAGGCCCCTGGAGTCAGGAAAAAAATTAGGTCCTGTAAGTTTCACTGTCCCCTGTGAAGGCTCCTCTGGCACTGAGGGCGCTGCGAAGTTGCAATGTTTTAGGACCGTGCAGAGGTTCGCTTATGACGTATACTGGCCTGAAAATGCGGCTGGTGTCACAAGATTCGGTTAGAATCAAAGGTCAGGTGTGCCAAGTTTCAGCTCTCTGTTGTCATTCTCTGTTGTACATTCTCTGGTACATTCTCTGGTATGTCTCTATTGTTATTGGGAATCGCGCCGGTACGGGTAATTCAGCTCCGATTCGATACACGAATACAACACACATGCCTATCTCGCATGAGTTTCTCGCGCGATACTCCTAATCTATTGCTCCCGTAACATCTTTTTGTCGCCATGCCCATACATGAATGCGTCGACTGACGATATTTAGGGAAATAAAAGGTCATGTTCTTTGACGTTTGACGGAACGGAGCGTCAGGCCTGCGTGACAGGATAGTAGGATACCGATAAGAAGCACGGATGATGCTGGTGACCGAGGACGGCAGAACATATCTGGCGTGATTGCAGGATTGCCAGGGAGACAGTGTTGCTCTAAATATAGATAATCTTTTTCTTTATCTATTCAGAGAAACTTCGATGCTCATGTGTTCACTCTCCGAGCACATAAATTGACTTTTCACTCCTCAGGATGTCGTGACTAGTCAGTGGTCTGTCAAAGTGGGCAAATTTCTTCCACCAAAACCCATCGCTGGATCAAAAGATCATTCAATGCGTTTTGCTATATTATATGTAGCCAAATACAGCAGTGGAAATACCCAACGCAAGAAGAAAATGATTTTTTTTTTTTTGTCTCATAAACGGAAAGAAATCATGAGACCTCTGTTGAGCCAGAATCATACACTGAGTTGTTCCTGATAAGAATACTGAACTGGACAGCTGTACGAGGCTCAGTTCGGTCGGTTCATAGACGCAAGCAAGTTTTGAAGATGTGCCATGATCTCTAAAAACAATGGCGATTTAAGGCCTGAAGTTCCGACACAGTATATAGGACTTGCGACTTTCATACATGAGTGATCGAAATTTCTTTGGGCTGCCCGCTGTAAGTACAGAGGGCGGACGAAGGTCGTGTCAATGTGACTGCAGACAAAATTGCCGAACAGAATGGGCGGGTGGGTTAAAGCCGTTCCGCAGATGGACTCACGATCGACAGGGTGAGAGCCTGGTCGTGTCGCGATCTGACTATGCATGTCGAAACCAACTTTCACGGTCACCGAGTCAGATGTGTCAGCGTGTCAGGACCTCTGCTGTAGGTGCACTCCAGTATCTGTCGTCCTCAGTATGAAGCAATGAACTCACGTAGCGTCTGTGCTCCCATGAGGCATGAGTCTTCTGGCTGGTTGGTAGACTGTCGGTCGGTTCAGTCTGTCGGTCGTTTGGTCGGTCGATTTCTGGGTGGGGGACTGATCGTTTGGTGGGTTGGGCTGCCGGTTGGTCGGTCGGTTATTAGTTGGTCAGTTAGTCTGTTGGTTGGTCGGACAGTTTGTCGGTCGGCTCCTCGGTCAATGGTCAGTCTGTCGTTCGGTCGGTCATACGATCGGTCAGTCGACCGGACAGTCGGTTTGCCGGTCGGTTATTATGTAGTTAGTCGTTTAGTCTGTGGGTTGGCTCATGGCTGGTCGGCTGGTCTGTTGGGTGGTCGGTCGGTCGGTCGGTCTATCGGTCGGCCTGTCTGCGGGTCGGTCTGTCTTCCGTTCGGTCATACGTACAGTAGGTTGACCACTCGGTCGAGTCATGGGCTGCGGCTGTTGCGGCCAACCCCTACGCCCGATAATCGGAGCCGCACTAGCCACTGGACCGGGCAGCGATATGGCGGACACAGGACGGAGGACTCCGCCAGTCGCCAGCCGCGCCGCTGCTGCAGCGGTGGAGCGGGCCGCGGCCGGCGATGGGCCGAGGTCGGCCCCGCGCCGCGCCGCGAGACCGCCCCGTTGGCCGGCGGCGGCGGCGCCGAGTTGCCGGGCCCCCTCCTGCCGCCCGCCGCCCCGCCCCGGCCGGCGCCGCCCCCTCCCAGGCGGCGGGCCGTGCCGCGAGGCGACACGCATCGATCGGCGCGCTGCTGGCCGGCCAGGCGCGGCCTTGGCGCGAACGGCGCGTCTCGTGCGGCGGCGTACCACGTGACCGGCCGCGCGCCGCGCCGCCGCCGCCGAGTCGATAAAGCGCGCGCGCGCGCCGCGGCGCCGCGGCCGCCGCTGCGTGGCTGGCCGGCTGCAGCGGGCGCCGCCGCGGAATGCTGGCTGCCGACAGTCGCGAGCGGGCAGCGCGAGCGCCGGCCGCCGCCGCCGCCGTCTGCAGCGCGCCGCGAGCAAGGCGTCCGGTGACCGCCGAGGGCGTGCAGCGGGCACACGCTGCCGGCATCGCGTATTGAGCGGCCCCGCTCTGTGACGCCGCGGCGACCGCCCCCGGCGCGGACAGTGAGTGCGAGCGGTCACCGTTGGCGTGTCGGAGTGACCGGGTCACGCGGCTGACCCGGAAGTGACCTCGTTGACCGGTATCGTGTGTGACCCGCAAACCGCAGCGGTGCTCCGCCAGACGCGGCGGAGCGTGTGTGGACTACCGGAGCGGACGACGGGGTTCTCAGCGCCGGTGGGGGCGTCACTGACCGCCTCCCGTCCCTGCGCTGACCCGGGCGGCAGTGGGCCGCTGCCGCGGGCTGCTCCCGGCCAGCTCCGAGCAGCCGCTCTCCGCCGCTCGGTCCGCCCATCCGCCGGGCGCCGCGCCTGACCTCGGTCCCCTCCCCGTCCCCCGGCGGCGCCGCCCCCGTCAGCCGCGGCGCCCGCCGCCGCCGCCGCCGCTGCGCCGCCCATGGAGGTGGTGCCCATCCTGCACAACAACCGGCCGGCCTACCAGGTGGTGACGGTGCCGACGCGTCGCCGTCGTCGCGCGCGGCGCCGCACGGTGGCGGCCGACACTGCCGACCCGCGCGGCCGCAGCCACCTCTCCAACAAGACGGCCGAGGACCGCGTGCTCGAGTACGGCACGGAGCTGTTCCGCAGCAGCGGCGAACTGCTGCTCTGCCAGTTCTGCGACAAGCCGGTCGACCCGCGCCGGCGCAGCTCCATCGAGTACCATCTGAAGAGCTTCTCGCACCAGCGCAAGGTGCGCTCTCTGACGGCCGGCAGCCCGCTAAGCTCCGAGGGCGCGGGCGAGGGCGGCGCGCCGCCGGGCGACGAGCCGGAGCTGGTGCCGCTCGGACCCGACTCAGGTGGGTGCTGTGGGACAGGACGGGGTGCTGGGACCCGAGGCAGGTGGGACAAGACGGGGTATTGGGACCCGACTCAGGTGGGTGCTGTGGGACAGGACGGGGTGCTGGGAGAGAGACCCGTGGCAGGTGCGGCATGCACCGGACGGGACAGGACATAATACGGACATAAGTGGGCACGGCACGAGACAGGACAGGATAGGACAAGACAGTGGGACCCGACACTTGTGAGTGCTGCATTCAACAGACAGCGAAGGGACCAGGGACCCGACTCAGGTGGGTGACGCGTCGGACAGAACAGGGTAAGGGCAGGACACACAGGTGGGTGCGGCGCCGTGCCGAATAGGACAGGTAGGACCCGAGACAGGTTAGGGTACTGGGACCCCACACATGTGGGTACGAATCGGACAGTGGAAACGATTACACCGGACAAGCCACAGGGCAGGGACAAAAGGTGCGTGGGTACTGCAACGGACAGGAGAGGACACTGGCGCCCGACACAAGTAGGTACGGTACAGGACAGTACAGGGAAAGGACAGGACAGGGACAAAGGTGGGTACGGCACCGCACAGGACAGTGAAAGGACAGGATATAGATAGAGGCTCAAGACGGGTGGGTGCCGGTGCTGCACCGGACATCGCATGATACATGTGGGTACTGCTTCGGACAGGACAGTACAGGGCTGGGCAATGTCGAACAGGGCAGGAAAGGACACTCATTTGATAGCTGTTATGCATGGCATGCAGCTTGATTGAACAGGTGGTTATGTCTGATAGACCGCTGGACGGACATGTGTGGGCATACGGTATTATGGGACAACAGGACGGGGCAGGACATAGAAACGGATTCTGACGGGCACTCTCGGACGGGGACGTGTTACTAACCGGAACCAAGACGTGGGTGTGACCAGATGCCGCAATAGCGCGAGGAAGCATTCCCTGATTGTTTCTTGATCAAGGCTGCAAGTCGGCCATGAGATCATGACCGTCCATCTCATATATCTCCCGACTACTAACCTACTGACGGTTACGCGGATGGCTGCTCGCTGCTCGGTGAGCTGTTATCAACACGTGATTGTGATTTACCGATGTCACATTCCCACGGATAACGCAACCGTACAAATAGTCGGATACGCGGTTCAATAATCTTCGCTCATGGAAGTTTCATCTGGACCGTAATAACGTCTGAATGGCGAATTCCTCAGCAGATTAACCCGCACCAGGGCGGTAGTCCAAGGAGAAAAATTCTCAACGCGTCGTGTTGGTGGTGGCGGAGGAAAGGGAAGGGGGAGGTTACGACGCTCTCTATAATTCGCTCTTGGCTCATTTAGCGACAGGTGGTAAAAGGTAAAAGTGATGCATTTATTTTGTGTCGCATGTTAAAGTTTTGACCCCAGGACCTTTGACCTGACTTAAAATTACAAAATACTTTTATTTTTTACACTCTTTCTAACACTGCCTGCCGCGTGTCTCTGTGTGGCTGAGGAGCAGTGTTAGAGGGCTCCCAGTACTCTCAGACCACTGACACGGCGCGAGTTAATATTTTACCGAAGGTCAACGGCTTAGGCTACAAGGGTAAAAACTAAAAAGACGTCAAATTTGGCGTCTTGTGGACTGTGCAGCGTTTTACCCATTTACGTTTCATTCCTGTCGTTTTTTTTGCGATTGCTCAGAACACGCTAGCGATAGAGAGCTGAACGCTTACACATCTGATCGTTTGTTAAAACCGAATCGTGCGAGACCAACTACATTTTCAGGTCAGGTCAGGTCACCGACCTATGACGTCTTAAGTGAGCCTTTGCACGGTCCTAAAATGTCGCAACTTCGCAACGCCCTCATTGCAAGAGAAGCTTTTGCAGGGAGACGAAGCGCATGTAGGACATAGTAATCTTCCGAAGTCTCACAACTGGCATATCTCGGATTTGTTTAGGGTCATGCCGGGAGTCAGACTTCTCATGTGACCTACCGTTAACCCGCGCGGGGCTGGGGGTAAATTTTACCCCCCTCGCGAATTTTTGCGATAAAAACGGCGGCGCCTTTCAGTACCTTTTCTTACATCAATTTGACACGTTCCCTGAAAATTTGAGCGAAATCCGTTGGATTTTTTTTTTTATAGAAAATGACGTTTTAGTGACGTCATGTTCGCCATTCTCGCCTCAAAAACGGCAAAATTTCAAACGCCGCTAACATCTTCATTTTTAAGGGAATCAAGACGTAACAAAAAATGTTATATGTGATTCTACTTTGTCTATCAAATGGCTATCTCGGTTTTTTGGAAATTTTTTGATTTTGGCCCAAATTTGTTAAAAAACTGACTTTTTTAGGAAAATAATTATAAAATCCAAAATTTTGCGTGTATCGAAAAAAAACGGAATATATGTCAGAGAAGTGGTCCACGTGCACCTACATACCAATTTTTAGAAGAATCGGTTCAAAAATGTGGGATGTATTCAAAATTGTATGACGTCACGACAAACAAATTTTTTGAAAAATGAACTTTTTGGAAGTTCTAGACCTCGTACGGAAACAAAAATAGCACCATTCGCTTCGCCGTAAAAACTGCATCAGATAGACCTTAACAACAAACTTCAAAATTTGACCTCACTTGACCTGACCTTGACCTGACTTCGACCTGAAATTCATCCAGATGTGGTCCATATCACCTATTGAGTGTGCCTATTGAGTTCTATGAATAAAATGACCCATAAAACATGTGTCGCACATGCCCTTTTCTATATTTTGTTTTTTGGTGACCTGACCTGAGACCTGACCTCACCTTGACCTTGACCTCTGAATGATATTGTATGCAAGGAATATTGTCTTGGTAGCCTAAGAACACGTTTTGGGCAATCAGTCTCAGTCCATGACTCCATTCTTCGGCAACTACGGTGCAAGGCCGATACTGTAGAAACTTGCAATTTGTACCTATGACCTAACCTTGACCTTGACCTCAAACTTTAAATTAAGTACATGTTTTTAGTTGCTCGTTATGAGATCTTTCCATTGGCGTTTGAATTTTCCAAATCGGACCATTAGTTCGGGAGATAACAGGGGGGGGGGGGTAAAATTTACCCCCCCCCCCCTAGCCCCGCGCGTTCGGCTGGAGACCCCAGCCCCGCGCGGGTTAAAAGTCAATGATGTGGAACAAGTGATTTGGTAAAAACTAATTTTGGCGCCGGTAATTGTCTGATACTGCCTCAGAGTACACATAATCGTGAAGTCATGCACTCCTTGCAATGTCCGATCTCCAACTTTGGCTTTGACGACCCTGCTTGTCGACATTTACCTATATCGTCACCAAGGGCATCGTAGTTTTCGTCGATAAATCCCGATCGAATTGAGCTACGAAGTCGGGAAAGCCACCAGTGAACTCAGGAGGACATGCCGAATCAAATGATATCCAAATATGACCTTCGGCCAACCCTGTGACCTGAGAAGCTATGGCCTGACCCTGCTGACCTTGCCCAAACCAAAAGTATATTATTCGACGCGCCAAGCATTGCGAACACGATGGTGCCAAAATCGCGTCTCTGTGACCTTCCCCGTCTAAGTTATTCACCAGAAACCGAACCCGTACGTACCTTGGGGCACTTCAACTGACCTCGGAGGTCACCGGTTGACCTGAGAAAATCGGATACTAGTCGCTGCATCTCGTAACGACGCGCACGTTCGGCTGCAGCGTATGCAGAAAACCCATAAGTTCGGCTAAGGTTAAAACTCTTGACCTCAGCTACCTCAGATTTCTTTTGAGGTGAACGGTTTAGCATCCAGTGGGCAAAAACTGTCAACGTTTACGTAGGAAAACGTTTGTTTGTGTTACAAAAAAGGAAAAGTGCGTAGTGCCTTGTTGAAACGCATCGATTTGACTGTAACCTGCGTCGGGCCGCTGCTAAGCGCCTATTGCGCTGGGCCTCGGGGCGTTTGAACAGTTCACTCCCCTCAACCTCGGCTTCTGGGCCACGTAGCGACACGCGGTAAACGGCATCCGAAAGAGCGTCTAAAATTTTGACGAAGAACATTTTAGCTCAGTTCGAAGGTCAGGTCACCAGAGGTCATCACGGGTCAAATTTTGCCCATTTCAACATTTTCTGACAAACCGGCTCATATCTCGGGAACGAATAGAGTTACAGCGCCGCGGAAAGGCGCTTTTGATAGGTCCTTTAACCAGGGGCGCGGGAACTACTTTCAGACGGGGGAGGGGGGGGGGGGCACACTATAATAGAGATCAACCTAGGGTACCCTGAAATCTAGTTTTCTCACCGGTTTTAGGCCACTTATTTTTTCATCCCTTGTCTTTTTCAACAAAAAGAAAACATTGGCAAAAAAGTGCGGTATTCCGTCTTACAGACTTGTGATCAGCTCAGTTGAGCCGGCTCAAAAATCAGCTCAGCTCATGAGCCGGCTCAACATTTTGCCAAATTGTTGAGCTGTGAGCTGAGCCGGCTCAGTAATGCATTGAGCTGAGCTGCTGTCTGAGCTGAGCTGAATGAGCTTGAGCTGAGCTGAGCTGAATGAGCTTGAGCTGAGCTGAGCTGAGCTGATTGAGCTGAGCTGAGCTGATTGAGCTGAGCTGAGCTGATTGAGCTGAGCTGAGCTGATTGAGCTGAGCTGAGCTGAGCTGAGCTGATTGAGCTGAGCTGAGCTGAGCTGAGCGAGCTGAGCTGAGCTGAGCGAGCTGAGCTGAGCTGATTGAGCTGAGCTGATTTAGCTGAGCTGAGCTGATCCAGTTCTAGTAGGTACACTGGAAGATGATGAGAACGGATAAAAATATAAAACCGAATGCAATGTGCATTGAATATTGATACACTATAAACACTAGAAACACGATAAACTGGAAATAATATCATACGCAAACCAAAGACGTCACTAGGTGAAAGGCCATGTAGTTCGACACCGCAAACTGAAGCGATCGGTCGGGAAATCGCTACATTCCTCTATTGCACCCCGTTCGCACCGTTGTAAGCCGTTCGGTTGGTATCCTTATCCACTGCGGCGTGATGTCCACCTGATATCCACCTGTGTCCCGATGATTCGATGTCCATGACCAATCAGCACACGCATTCCCGTGACGTCATTGGCCGGACCCCGACACGTTACGGAGATATGGGTGGCATTCGGCATTCGGCAATGGGTGGCATTGAATTTAACTGAGCGGAAACTGAGCTGAGCTGAATTGAGCGGAAACTGAGCTGAGCTGAACGGGAACTGAGTTGAGCTGAGCTTAGCTGAGCGGAAACTGAGCTGAGCTGAACTGAGCTGAGCGGAAACTGAGCTGAGCGGAAACTGAGCTGAGCTGAGCTGAGCGGAAACTGAGCTGAGCTGAGCTGAGCGGAAACTGAGCTGAGCTGAGCTGAGCGTGAGCGGAGCGCAGCCGGTTTGAGCGGAACGTGAGCTGAGCTGAGCCGCGTTAAACTGAGCGGGAGCTGAGCGGGAGCGGATAAGACGGAGTTGAGCTGAGCGAGCTCACTTTTTTCTTGAGCTGTCACAAGTCTGCCGTCTTAGAGTTGTGGGGGGCACTACCCTCACGGCTCCAGAGTTGGTGGGGCAAGGTCCCCACTGCCCCCCCCCCCCGGTTCCCGCGCCTATGCCTTTAACGCTCTTCCTGGAATAAGCTCTCAGATTTGGCCTAGGATCAACGATGTAGGTAGCCTCCAGAGGACAACCAAAAATTGCCGTTTTACGAATTGTGTGCCCACAGCCCAAAACAACGGTTTGGAAAGGGGTATGCTTAGATATCTCCCAGCTGGGCGGAGCCTAAATAAATGGCTCCATGCAAAAGGACAGCGGCTCCATGAGGCTGACCTCGGTCTCTTCCCCCGTATTCCAGCGATGAAGGTGGACCCGTCTGGCGGCAGCGAGTCGCCGATGCGGCCCGGCGATTGGGGCGCCCTCTTGAACGGCCAGCATAGTTCGGCGGCGCTCAGTCAGATGTCGCTGCTGATGGCCGAGGGCGTGGCGTCGTCACTGTGCGAGGCCCAGCTGGCCGACGAGGGCTCCAGCGCCGCCGCCGGCTCGGGCACCGTGTTTACCGGCGGCGGGGAGGCTGAGCGGCGCTGCTGCTGCCACTGCAGCTGCGCCGGCGGCGGCGTGCCGCGCAAGGAGGGCAACACCTTCCCAAATGGTCAGTGGAGGACGGATGGGGCACCGACTCTGCTAGTGGTCGAGAGCAGAGGGGCTGTGAAATGCTGTGCATATTTTTCTTTCGTTTTCATTCTGAAGTCTAAAATATCTGTCGTATGACTTCGCTAAATTGTCTTCAAAGCTCGCCGGCTATGCCTGCCCCTCAATTCTCTGTGCAACCCCACTGTGAGTCTCAATGTCCTCTCTATCTCTCTGTTATACCCTACTCCTACCTCTCGCCCCACAGAGCTGGTGGTGAAGGTGCGCGTCTCGGACTCGCCGGAGCGGCACTTTGTGCTGGTCGACCTGCCGACTAGCGACCTCAGCTGGCTCAGACTGGTCGCCGCCAGCTGCGCCGCTCTCGGCATTCCGGTCAAGGTTGGTATTACGACCTCCGTAATCCGTATTCATCCGCTCATTTTCAGCATTGTTAGATATTTGCGAATGTCACTTGTATTTATTGCTCCCACGCTCTTCGAAGTGCAGTGGAGCTCGTCCATCGACTTGAGTCATGAATTTTTGCTTTCCCGAGTACCGGCTACGGGCTAGGGGTACTACCGTCTCGACCCACTACTCTCGGTCAGCTGTTACTGTTATTTACCTCAGTGTCGAGATGTAGTCAGACAGCTCCCATTCATCAAGTGGTATCCAATGGGTGGCTCCCAGAGTTGCAACGATGTCGCCGCTCTCAGTTGCCTCCCGACTCCCGACTCTAGCCCTGCCCGTCACCGTCATCTCCGTCCGTTCCCAGATGGTGAAGGAGGTGCTGAAGCTGCCCAACACGCTGCTGGTCCGTGACAAGGACGTGAAGCGGCTGCTCGACTACCAGGAACTCGAGCTGATCCTGCACAATGCCTGACGGCTGCAGTTAGTGCCATCTAGTGGAGAGAAACAGAGACTCTAGTGTGTAGACCTGCCGACAGGAGAGTGGCAGAGAACGCGCCGCCAGCGGCGACTTTTCTGCGCCACCGAGCAGAAACTCGCAGTCTGTGTGGTATCGGGTTATTGTCGATAGTTCAGAAACCGTCCCGCTCAGTTAGCGAGGGCGCCCTCAGGTGTCAGAGGCCGTAGCTAGACTCTCAGATACGCCGGCGCCGCGGGAGGGCGACCCGCTCGCTCCTGCCGGGTCACGCGCCGTCGCAGTGTTCGTGAATGTGTTTAACCCTCGCCCGTAAACGGCGATCTGCCACCTTCGCCCATGCAGGGGGGGGGGGTTGGTGCGACCCCCCCCTTGGCGTTTGAAAACGGAGCGTCGTAGAGCTTAGCGGAAAAGACCAACGGATTGCTCTCGCCGAGATCTCGCGATTGGTGGTATATTTTTTGGTCCTAGGTCAACATTTGACCTACTTTTGACCGGTCAAAGGTCAAATTTTCGGAAAAATAGACTTTTTTCAACTTTCCGCGGCGATTGCGGCAAAACGGTGTGAGATATCGACTTGAAACCTTCACTATCGTGTTCCTTGATCAATTCTCTATCGTTTGGTATGTATTTCGTTTCCCTAGCTCTAAAAATGGCGCGTTGGGAGCGCCGGAAGTCGGCAAGGTCACAGTCGGCGGCAGAAATTCGAAAAATCAAAATTTAAATTTTTGAAATCTGATTGTATTTTTGGATTTGGAAGGTCCATTTGCTCCCTATAGAAGCTAATATTGCTGCATATTCCCATTGAGGTGACAAGAATTAGCAAAATAGTGGTTCGGGCGCTTTTCAAAAATAGTACCGGACGCTGTTCCTCTTGTGACGTCATAGCTCCGTGACCTGACCTGACCCGGTCAAGTTTCTTATACCATATGATAGCCAATACTTGCCCCAACATGCATGGGAAGTTTCATCACGATCCATCAACCGATGTCCGTACCACCGGCAGGAAACTTCGGGCGTTGGCACTCAGTTTGTGAAAATCCGGCCGGAGGCTGTTCCCTTTGTGACGTCATAACTCCGTGACCTGACATGACCCGGTCAAATTTTTTTTATCAAAAGATGCGCAAGGTTTGCCCCATAGGGTACCCAAAATTTGGCGGCGCTGCGCGCCGCCGTTTTTGCACTATTACCGAAAAACCTCAGGGGGGGGGGTTGCACCAACCCCCCCCCCCCCTACATGGGCGAGGGTTAATAACGCCACGCTTGTCAGCTTGGAGCACGGAGTTGCGCACCGTGCCATGGTTCCGCCTGTCGCGGTCGCCGTTCGGGTAGAGGTGCTCGGGTGACCGACCGACCGGCCGGGACCTGCTCCTTGCCGAATGCGCACAGTTTACCCAGCTATTCAGGCGGGGTCGGGTCGGGTAACTCATACCGAGGCCGCAGGGTGACGTCCGGGAAATACTGCGTGCAATGCAAATACTTGTGTGTGCGTGTCCGTGTGGTGTGCGCATATGTCGTTTGTTTTTGGCGGAGTTCAGCCTCCGCTCTAGTCAAGCGCGCTCGGAGGGGGAGGGGGCACTCAGCCCCGCCCCCTGACCTCCAGGAAGGGCGCCATGTTTACTCACAGATCGCTCCGGGACGCCGCGCGCCGTCCCGTCTATTTCGGGACCTCACAGCTCGACGTCTCGACGCTGCCGCAATATACAGCCAGTTATGTCGTGAATCGGTGTGTATTCTACAGTCACCTAACGGCGGAATACTGGTGAACCTGCGTCGGAGCGATAGGCGTAGCTGTCACTCCCTGCCACGCTGGACAGTGGTAACGCATGGCAACACCACTCTGTCTAGCAACACAGCCGTTACCTTGGTAACCGGAGCAGGTTATGTCTGGTTGTTGCCGGTACCACAGCACAGGGCAGTTCCGGATCATACCAGTTCAGTGCGTTTCTGGGACAGACACCGCTAACCTAAACACCCGCCCAGGTTCAGACACACTACGAAAACACACCGGGCGTCTGGAGCGAGCGACAACATAAAGCGCGCTCGGTCAGCACACGGCACTGGACAGAGGTCTGACCATACCGCGACGACTGAAAACACCCCTTTACCCCTTTCTGCCGGGGAAAACGGGCATACGAAACAGTCATGTGGTAGACTCATGCCACTTGAGCGCTAACTCCACCGATATCTACAACACGGTAAGCCAAATGTGTAGAAAACCATCGGCTCACAATCGACAAAAGACAACTAAATGAGTAGAAAACCCTCTCACACGGCTGAACAGGCAGCTCTATTAGAAATCACCTCGCGCGCTGCACAACTCCCTATCAAACAAACCCTAGCACCCATCACCACCACCTAACCACGACACACGTCAAATCTCCCACAAACAGAGCAGATGATCGTAGAAGGAGCACGTCACTGCCACGCTGGTGTCACCGCTGGAGGACTCCCGATGTCGTTCAGTGTCACCATCACCATTCACCACATCACCGCCGTCACCAGCGGCGTCATCACCAGCGTCGCCACCAGCACCAGCCGAGTCGTTTGTGACGGGCGTCCTGTCGACCCTCTCCTCCCATCCGCCACCACCGTCCAGCTGACACCAGTCCGCGCCGTACACGATGCTCTTGTGCTCCAAGAAGCTGGCCATCACGGTGCCAGCTGCGTCAGTCACGTGACTGCCGCCGTACATACAGGCGGTGAGCACGTGATCGGCGCGGCGCGGGTGGCGTTTGATGCGCCACACTCCGCCGGACAGAGGAGCACGCTCCAGTGGACGGCGCATGGCCCGGTCGTCCCACACGTACAGGTGCTCGTCGTAGCTGGAAGGGGAGGGGAGGGTCAGACAAGGGGGATGGGGAAGCCAGCGATACACGGAGACAGGGTCTTGAAATGGCTCATCCGACGAGTCCGATGATAGGTAATATTTCAGCAGATAATGGGAGACAAAAATAGCGAGACAAAAAGACGAGCTAGCAAATCATGAAGTCGAGAACAATGTTGAAGTCCGTGATGGTTCTCGAATTACGATAAAACATCTATCTCATTTCAAGCAAGAATAAGCTGGCAGAGGTGGTGAGACCCTGCTGTCTGACTCTCGGCCCTCTGCGAGTATCCAACAATGAGGGTCAACAAGAGGGCGGTTTATCCTAAAGAGGAACAAATTGACGTAGAAAGGAACGGATCTGCCGATGCGTAGTGTATAATATGTGAGGAAACTCTGTACCTTGGGGTCGAATATAGAAATGTGCAAACCTGCCGGTTCGCAAAGTGTGCTCTGTGAGGACGTTAGTCGCTCTGAGCTGTATCTACAATCTACATGGGTACAGATGGGTACAAGGTAGTATACTATGTACACTCTGTCTTACATAAAAGCACCGCGCAAAGTGACGGTGGATCCATCAAGCCTGACCGAGGAAGGGCGTGCTATAATTTGAAAGTCACCGAACCAATTGACCTGGGAAATGGACAAGGATGTCAATTGCTTCGGTGACTCAAATTTAGCAGTCCCTCCTCGGTCAGACTTGATGGACCCACCGTTACTTTGCGCGGTACTTTTAAGACAGACTGTACATACCTGCCGGTCAGCAGGGTGTGCTCCGTGAGGTAGTCGCTCTGAGTTGTACAGAGGGGAACATAAGATACATAAGGGTACAGAAGAGGACGTACACACCTGCCAGTCCGCAGAGTGTGCTCCGTCAGGTAGTCGCTCTGTACGCTCGTCACGCCTGCCTCGTGGCTCCGGTTGGTGAACACGGGACAGGCCGGGTCCAGTCGGATGTCGTAGCCACGGAACAGAAGGTCGTCCCCACCTGGAGAGACGCAAGGCTCGATTCATCAGCTAAAGCAGTTTTTCTGGCATTTGTTCCAAGAAATAAGAATAATCGGGCCGCTGCTACAGTCCGAGACGGTTGTTGCCAGACGGTCTTTTCTCCACATCTCAACAGTTCCCACAAACTAGTTTATTTTACCAGTTACTTACGAGTTACTATGCGTTTTCAGATCTAAGTCAGGCTCTCCTAAGGATAATTGTGAGAAAACCGCCAATGCTTATACATCTACCTAGCAGCCCACTCCCTCTCTAAGAAAGACCCTCCAGCTCTTTCAAATAGTCATAGTTACGTCTCACTCCCACCCCAGTCCGACCTCGTAGCCCCCACTCACCGGTATACACCACGTTTCCGTCCGAGTGTTTGAAGCCGCACGTCCAGGCCTCGTGTCCGTGGCAGACGTTCGTCCAGAGGACAGTCAGCTCGCGGCCGTCCTCTGCGAGCTGCAGCACCGTCACAGCTCCAGACGAGTCGCTGACGGCCAGACGCGCGGTGCCGGCCGCCAGCGCGCACCATTCGAGTGCCAGCGCCAGCCGTCCGGGCTCTGCCACCGCGCGGTTGGCCACCGGCTCCAGGCGCGGTCCGGTCTCCGCGTCCGTCAGCCGGAACAGCAGCAGCCGGCCGCGCGCGTCCGCAGCGGCTACCAGCGGCCGGCCGCCGACCGGTGCCGGGCTCCACTTGACGTCCAGCACGGCGGCCGTGTCGAGCCGCTGCAGCTCGCGGCGCCGGCCGCAGTCGAGCAGGTGCAGCCGGCCATCGCGTTGACACTCTGCGGCCGGCAGAGGGGGGGGGGGCGGTGCGGTTAGATTGTTGTGTCAGACTACGACCAAAGATGGGGTGAAGGTGATGGGCCAAAGATGGGGTGAATCGAGCTCTTCAGCATAGGCATCGTTTTTGCGTTATAAGTAGCCTTTGTTTTATCTTTTCAAAGATTTCTCTTTCGATTGTATCAGTGTGCTGTAAATGATGGGTGAGGACGGCACATTAAATTCTTATTTCTCATGGAAACCCCTGGCCCCTCCCACTCAGCAAAGCATAAAACGTTATGTTCAATTTTCATTCATGAGTGTTGTATTTTGAAGAGAAACACATATTGAGCCGATAAAATAGCACACAGCGTCACATATCCAAACAGACACCAGCAGAATCAGTTTCATGATGAGACAAAGATCAGGTATCAGGTAATCCACCAATGAGCGATTGAATCGTAGCTTTGATTAAGCGTTTGTAAAATACAATACGCAAAGGTGGTTTGTCTGTAATGTGTTCATTGATGCAACTGCTACGAAGCAAACCCAGTCATTCGTGAAATGTAAATAAATAAATGCGGAATCGAACTTCAACGGCTGATTGTTTCACGTAAGATTGTTATCTAAAAAATGGAGATGACACCATTTACACCTTATAGTTGCCGTTACCATAGTGAAACAGAGCACAACACAGAGATCGGCGTCAGTGACTGGTCATCCAATGCAACATCGGTACCACACCCCACATTGCCTAGGACAGGGTCAACGTCAAGGATCAGTGGGGTTAGACAGAGACAGGGTTAGCTCACAGTATTGACGGTAAGACGGTGTTCGGGGGAGGGACCGGGCGCACCTTCCGGCGGTATGTCGGCCGGCTGGTCCTCCCGCAGTCGGTAGGTGCCGCTCAGCAGCAGGTGCCGGTACGGCGGCATCGGACAGAACTCTGCCGTGTCTGCCGGCCACTCAGAGTCCCAGCGCCACAGCACCACCGGCGCCGCGCCGCCGCCGACCTCCGCAGACATGGCGGCGAGAGATGAGTCCGCGGCTCACTGCAAGCAGCAGCGTCAGTGGATGTCCACCGGTCGGCTACCGAAAGGAAATGTTTCTCTACTGAACACTAAGGAGAGTATCCCGATACTAGAGCAGTCACTAATCACTACGCGTCACTGCGCCTTGATAGCGTCACGTCACACACCGCTACGTCCGCCGGTGCGGAGTCGCCGTCACGGTGCCGCGTCTGGTCGTCCCGACTCCTCACGACTTGGCACTGCGCTCCGTCTCGATGAGGCACTCGCGGACCAGGATGCGTGCGTGTCCGATGCCGCGTTTCAGGCGCTCGGCGCTGCTCTTGCTGCCCGAGTAGGTGGGTCGGATGTCGCGGCCCATGTCCTCAATGACGGCCAGCAGCTGGGAGTACTTGGACTGCGCCGGCGGCTGGCGGTACTGGCCGGCGGCGGCGGCGGCCGGGTCGAACGCAGTCTGGTTCGGAGTGCCCGGCTTGAAGGCGGGAGACGCGGAGGCGGAGCGGTCGTCATCCATGGTTGACGCGCCCCCAGCACCACCCTGAAAAGAAAGGGAATACAGCTCGTGAGACTCGGCAACAAACCATGTGATCAATGGTCATAAATATCACAAGTGCCTGCGGAGCAATCACACCCACACATCTGGTGTCAGAGCCAATGCTGATGTGCGCACACTGGAAACCGGCCCAAGGACACAGCGCTGACACCCGGTGGGTCACTGGGAAATGATGGGGGAAACGGGTGCCACAGGCAGACCATGATCCGAAAGTGCCACCGCAAAACTAGCGCGTAAATCACGCCAACCCAAAGTACCGGTCAGCCCACGCCCTGGTATTTATCAGCCCATAACTCAGCGCACAAAGCAATCTGTAACGGCCAGCTAACCTCGGGCACGTGACGGCTACCCCCGGGGTCGGCCGCACCCGCCTCAGCGGACCCCTTCGCCTCTTCACGGCGCTCCAGAGAGCAGGCGGACATCACGCTGAGCATCTCCAGCATGTTTTTCTCGTTGTCGAGCCGCTTGCGCTGCCGCTTGTCACGGTCACGCCCCCGTTTCCTCTCCCGCTCCGAGCGATACGAAATGCTACGCTTGCGTCGCACCATCTCTCACGCGGTGCTCGGGCCGGGTGCCCCGTCGAACTGGACACCGGGTAACTCGGCAGAGAGAAAACGTAGGGGAACGCTAGCACCCCACAGACCAAACCGTCGAGGGCAGGTAACGGCCACAGCGCGCACGAATATGCCAAACATGAAAATTTGCAGTTCATCTCCGACTGGCACGTGAGCGACCACCAGTTATCAGTGGCTGCACGTGTATTCGTGTAAGAGCACCTCCACTCTGAAAGCACGTCAGCTCATAGGTCACAGCAACCACGACATACTGAGCAAATAACACATGTTGCATTGGTGAGCCGAAGCCTTGGTCGGCAGCACAAATGGACCGTAAAACGCACAGGGCGCGAAATACGTCGTTCCGCTTGAAGGAGCGTGCACCTCGGCAACTGAAGGTCGGACTGAGGCCATGGTCCTCCCTGAGCTCGAACTGTTAACTTATTATATTTTCCATAGAGCAATGGTCTAACTGCTAATGCGCAGCCGTCCAGACAAAGTGATAAATATCAATTTAGAAATGCTCGCATTCTTCAAAATCTTTCTGACGATAGCGGATGGTTCCAGTGAATAACTGAAGTCTCACAGGTGGGCTACGAAGGAGCGCCGGCTTACAGTGGCGGTGCTGAAGTCAGCTGCTTCGACCGGCCACCGGGCCTCAGTCGCTGACCGCTGACCTGACCGCTGATCGGTGAGTCAGAGCGACTCTGCGGCTCGCCCGTTCTCAGTGGCACAGCCCGTTTGCGCAAGGCCGACAGACGTGTGAACTATTGGTGACCATTTCGCCGTACTTCTGGAGATCGCGGCCCATAATCACGGCGGCGGTATATAAGCCTTCCAGCCGCCACCGACAGCACCAGTGACCGGCGTGGTACCTACACCGCTGAAAACGCCTCACCCAGCTCCGACAATCATGAAGGTACGGGCAGCTTGTGGTGGAGCGACCAACAGCCCAGGGTGCTCGGGATAAAACCCATTCACCCGTCGGTGTAAAAAGCACCATACATGGAGCGCGCTGTATCATCAGAGGCAGGGCACCCTGACTTGACCCACCGCACCCAAACTCTCCAGCTGACCGTCCAACGTGTTCGCAGGTGGCGCTGTTGACCGTGCTGGTGGTGGCAGCTGTCTCGGGCCAGTACCCGGCAGCCCCGTCCGCTGCTGGGTACAAGGGTACCCCGTTCGCTGCACCTGTCCGGTACCAGCCACAGGTGAGTTATTAACTCCATTCCTCACTCGGTAGAGCTCCACTCGGTGTGACTTGAGTGAGACCGTCTCAAGACGGACGTGCTTCAGAAGGTCCTTACAATCCAACCATATGACAATACCACTGTTCAAGACACCGAACTGAGATTAGCTTCTCTTAATTCCTCGTACAGTATTTACCAGTAGAACCACGACCAGCGCTCAGCCAGTTCGCCGGTAACAGTCCCCTCTCGCCGGCAGGCCGGTCCGGCCCAGTACAGCTACCAGTGGGCTGTGGACGAGGAGGCTAACCGGTACCAGCACCGCGAGAGCCGCCAGGACGTCAGCGCCGAGGGCTCGTACTCGGTGGCGCTGCCGGACGGCCGCGTCCAGACCGTCACCTACACCGTCAACGGAGACGGCGGCTACGTGGCCGAGGTCAGCTACGAGGGCGAGGCGCGCTACCCGGAGACCCAGCCGGGCCGGTACCAGGGCGCCGGCCGCACCGGGAGCTACGCGCCCCGTCCGGCGGCGCCCGCCGCTGCCCGCCCGGCGAGTCGGTACCAGAAGCCCGCCCGGTACCCGGCCCCGGCCAGGTACCCCACCCCGGCCGCCGCCCGGTACCCAGCTCCGGCCAGCACCGCCGCCCCCAGCACTAACCGCGCCTACAAGCCGACCAGCGCCCCCGCCGCACCGCCCAAGACCAGGTACCCCGCCAGCAAGCAGGTCAGCTTTCCCAGCGCGGAGTACGGAGCGCCCCTGACCTCCTACCCTGCCTTCAACCCAGCAAAGACCCCCAGCGAGAAGTACGGAGCTCCCCAGGCATCCTACCCTGCCTTCAACCCAGCCAGCACCCCGAGCGAAGAATATGGAGCACCTCAGACCTCCTACCCTGCTTACAAGACGGTCAGCATTCCCAGCGAGGAATACGGAGCACCAGTCTCTAACTAAGCATTGTGCTAGGAAATGATAATGTGTTGGACCAGTGCAGTCAACGACCCACCTCATAACTCCCTTATAACCTAGTGTGTAGAATGTATCCGTATTTATTCGTTATAACTTAAATATATTGTAACTGCATGTCATTAGAAGGTGTTTAAAGCGTACCACAGCAAAACCTCCTGACGAAATACCCCGAAAAACATCTTAGATAACTTCAATGGCGTAAGCTGGCTATGAATCTCCGGAGTGTGCCATCCGGCACAGCATCCCTCCAGGCGCCCACTACTAGCGTCATCTATGGGCAGAAACTCTGAACAAAGCACAGTTGAAGCTTTGAAGCAATTTGGTGCAAACTACTTGAGGCTATAGCAAGCAATACGAGGAGCGTATTCAATATTGTGTTACTGAACTAATAAAAAGAGGCGAGTCATACCTTCAGGTAATTATGGTTGTTGCCGCGTACTTAATGTTATATTTAGTTTCAGAATAAAACCACATAGGTAGGTACAAATCACGGTTTCACAATCCGACCGAAAGTCGTCGTCAATCTGGAATGACAAGAAAGTTAATACAATCCATTGGCAGATGATTGACGCATAATTACCATGAAATTGTTTATGAAAGGAAACATTTAAAGGCAAATATTTCAGGCTTATTGCATGTTTGGGGTCGGTGCGCTTATCTGGTGCCAGCGGTGGGATGATGCCAAAAAATGTATGTAAAACAAGGGGATGTGCTTCAAAGCAGGCAGCAGCACACATCAGCAATCCGCCCAGTGAAGCCACTGTTCCGACGTCAACGCGGATAAGTCAGTTCGCCAATGCCGTCACTGGCACTCATTGATGCTTAGGGCCGGCGATCTGTGGATACTTGAGAGCTCCAGACAGCCCGGCCTCGCAAAACGTCTTTATCTGTAAATCGACAGACTTCTGACAAACAATGCGAGCAACTTTGCGCCATAAAAACATATTTCATTTGGACATATATTCCCAAGACAACCAAGAATTAAACACCAAACAGTTCGTGAACTCTACATACGGCACCCTAAGGCCTAAGGTATTGTCCTGCATACGACACCCCAAGGTATTGTCGTAAGTCCTAAGGTATTGCCGCGACCCCTAGACATCCCTAAGCGTTTTAAGCCATGGAAGACGTTTCTAAGGCTAGCCACACGTACCGTCACGGGTCTGGGTTCGCGACACACACACTGCACCAAAAGAGGTGCCTTGGAACTTGGGACGCACCATACGCATGCAACTACCATGATCTACCCTTCAATTCATATCGGTCAGCGCTGTGACAAGCTCTTCATGGTGACGAACTGTGCTGATTCAACGTGGTTCATCGCGCAAAATCAGTTGAATTGAATCGACGCGAAGTCATTTCAAGATTTTGCCCGCTCAATATAGTCGGTTTCACACAGTCATTCTAACTGCTAAGACTAGAGCTTCTTCGATCGAACTGCACCCAACCAAGCCCTCACCCGAGTTGAGCGACGGTAAACAAACTCCTACCAAGCTAATACCGTGACATTGCGTGCAGCCGGAATGGAGTATGCAGTGCCCTTCAACCCGTGTGGATAGCCTGGTGGCGATCTAGCACTGGCCAGTGACAGCCAACTAGCGTGCTGCAAACTCACAACAAACGTGGGTGTGCAACCATTTGGCAGTTGAGACAGAGCTCCAGTGAACCAAACTTCTCGACAGAGAAAAAGGAAACTGATTAAAATGGTTAACGAAATGCACAACGGTGTGCAACACCACCTGAATGACGCTAAAACAACCAGCTTTCCCCCCTAACATTGGCAAGATGCGCGCACCTGATTATTCATAAACATCATCCAATGCATAGCGACGGATTACTGCAAACAATTGAATGCATTATTCATAAACATCATCCAATGCATAGCGACGGATTACTGCAAACAATTGAATGCAATGTGTCAAAACGAGCATTTTGATTACCCATTCACGAATCAAGGCCCTATAACATTAACCAACGTCATACTCAAAGACGCACAGCAAGAACAAATATTGGAGCTTTGAAATAACAATGATTGTTTCACGTAGTTTATAAGTCACGATTCGATTCAAACAGCAATGCTTTTCACTTTTCTTTTAGATGGATAATTATGATGTGCCGTATTATTACTTCGGTGCATATGGATGAGTATGGTAAACCTGGTAAAATTGCACCTTTAAGTAGTTGATCACAGCATGTTTGAGCTGACCTGTCGCCAGGGTTGGCATTTTTGCCGGCAAAAATTAGTTTATGCCATTTGCCGGTTTAAACCGGTTTTAACCGGCAAAAAGTGGCAAAAACTGGCAAAAACTAAGAAATATCACAATGCTATCCTTGGACATGAATTTGAACATGAAGCATTTTAAGGAGAATTCGGTGAAAGCTTCATGCTTTCAAACCAGGGTTGGCATTTTTGCCGGCAAAAATTAGTTTATGCCATTTGCCGGTTTAAACCGGTTTTAACCGGCAAAAAGTGGCAAAAACTGGCAAAAACTAAGAAATATCACAATGCTATCCTTGGACATGAATTTGAACATGAAGCATTTTAAGGAGAATTCGGTGAAAGCTTCATGCTTTCAAACAGAAGTGACATTGACCATTGAAATGCTTCATAACTCAAACATTTTCATGGGCTTTCCATAAGGAGCTAGTAAGATGCCTTTTGGGGTGACAAATGAGCCAGTGCAAGGGTGACTGGGTGAGTCCTGCACAATCAGAAGTGCGAAGGGGCATCTGCCACTGATATGCGCACGGCACCGCATGGCACCTTACTTACCGTGGCTGTCTTGCCCCACTCTCCCCTACATGGAAATACGTTCCGCTGTGGATGTCTACCGACATGCATAGACATTTTAAGCAGGGATAAGTAATGAGGCAGCTTTAGAATGTTTAGTGCATCTATATAACTACCAGAAATGCATTTGTACATTTCAAATCCATTCCTAACTAGAAAAGTTGTAGGTTTGGCCATCTGAGTTTTAGCCAGTTTTTGCCAGTTCTTGCCACCAGGGTTTCTGCCAGCCGGTTTAAACCGGTTAAAACCACTGGCAAAAACCAGTTTTTGCCACCCCCTGCCAACCCTGCCTGTCGCTATTACCACAACCGTAAAATGTGAACCCAATCAACTAGTAGATTTAGCCAAACCATGGCTTGATTGATTTTAATCTCTCCAATAAGCCTACATAAATTCGAATGCATTTCAGAGGAATGTAGCGACACTCGAGGACGATCCGGTGATCAAGCTTATCGTTGGAACATCCAGTAGCCCCCTCGGCGGTGCGCAGTGGCCAGTGGGTCCATTGCAGCACGTCCGGCCGCCTACAGTCCCTTGTTGAAGTAGAGCGCGTCCGGCAGCGGCTGCGGGCCGTAGCGGCGGCGCAGCTCCTCGTAGCTGGCCGGCTCCAGGCGGCGCAGTGTCTCTGGCGAGATGCGACACGTCTGGGGGAAGATGGCGCAGCCCACCGGCACCATGAGCAGCAGCACGGCGCCGGAGAGCAGCGTCTGCACGGGCGCGTGCAGCCGGCGCCGGCCGGCGTACCAGGCCACCCGGTCCAGCCGCGACATCAGCACCGGCAGCAGCAGCATGCTCGGCGCCACGATCACGTTCCTGCTCACCAGCACCTGAGAGATGCCCTTGGCGGCGGCGGCGCGCGACACGCACGCCTCGCGGCCGGCCGCGTCGCGCACGGGCACGCCGCCCAGCAGCTCGCCCTGGCGCATCAGCGGCACGTTGATACAGTTGGACGCCACCACGGCCGCCAGCGGCACGAACCGCTGCGCCAGCGGCGAGGCGCGCGATGCCAGCACCCGCTTCAGGCCCAGCGCCGTAACCAGCGCGCACGAGGTGGCCGACACGTAGGCCACGCCCAGCTGGGTGGTCGACAGCGGGCTCTTGGCGTTGCGGTTGGTAAAGTTGACGAATGCGTTGAAGGACTGGTTGGCCCACTGCCAGAAGACGACGGCGGCCGTGCTGCGGTAGAAGGTGACCATGCCGCCAATCAGCACCATGCCGCCGGGTACCTGGAACGACATGCGTCCCACCACGCTCTGCAGCTGTCCGGTGTCCGGGTGGAGCGCCGAGTCGCAGAGCGCCATGGCGCGCCACACCTGCTGCTCAGTGGTGCCGGCCGGCTCGGCGCCGGCGCGGTACTGCTCCACCAGGCGGCGGGCGGCCTCCACGTCGGCGGCGCCGTGCAGCGCCAGCCGCGGCGAGGTGATGCTGAAGAAGTGGCGCAGCCGGCCGGCGAACGTGCTCTGGTCCCAGCGCGGCCGGCTCAGGTCCAGCCGGCCGTCCGGCAGGCGCGGCGACTCGGCCATGGCGGCGGCCTGCCGAGCAACGGAGGCCACTGTCAGCTGCGCCGAGCGGGCCGCGGCAGGACCCCGGCAGGCCGCGGCCGGACCCTGACAGGCCGCGGCCGGACCCCGACAGGCCGCGGCCGGACCCCGACAGGCTGCCGCCGGCGCCCGGACTGACCCGACTCCGCACTTCGGTCAGTCCCACAGTCCACTGACCAGCGCGGCGACCGTGTCACTCAGCCTCAGGGCCAGTGACCGGATTGTCATTTTTAGTCTTGGACTCGGAGAAATAAATCAAACCTGAGAATCACCTATATTTTATAACATCCAGCGACCAGCCATAATATTGTGCATTGAGAGAAGATATTAGTTTTTCATCACAAGCTGAAAAGTTCAGAAGATTCCAGGTGCCAGAGTACCTATATATTCGCAAGAGAGAACAAAATCTTTCAGACTGACTGAGGAACCAAAAAGGGGCCAAGGGGTATTAATTCCAACACTGCTGACTGCTAAGGGCCCACTCAGAGGCTTAGATTAGGAGACAGTGCCACACTAAGCAGGACTAGTTGGAAATGCCAGAGCCTATTACCTACCAACCCTATCCCTGCCCAGTTCATTGGTGATAATTCTAACAGACCGATGAGAAAGACCCAGATAAAGAAAAAGAAAGCAAAGGTTAAGATAGAAGATGGAGAATGAGCATTGAGCTGTTCTATCTGTGGTAATTGGAGCATCACAGGGAAGTGAAAAAGACAATCAACTGGGCAGGGCTTGAGCAGTGTGGCATGTGGTCCCACAGCCACCTGCAGCCACCTGTGCTGTGATGGAGGACAGGTAGCCTGTGGCTTAGGACATCTGTGACTGTTACTTTACCTTGAAGTTAGAGGTTGTAGTACCTAATCTTGCTGCATATATGTAGCTCTGTAATGTGAGTTTAGGCCCAGAGCATGCAACTTTATTTTGATACCTCAATGATTCATAGTTTTGCTGTGAAATGTGTGAGTTTTTGTCAAGCAAAGCCTTTGATTTTATTTAAAACATATAAATTGATCACACAAGCCCCTTCCAAAGGCTCCTATGGCACATGTAAGGTGATTTTAATGTAGTGATCAAATATATATATAAAAAAACGACAATGTATTCAAATACACAATTAAAAAGTTTTTTAATTGTGTATTTGAATACATTGTCGTTTTTTATATATATCTGTCATGGATAACACACAGTAGTGATCAAAGTTATCCCAGCCTCTGGGTGAGAGTGGTCACTTTTTTTGTAAAATAAAACAAAATATTCATGATCAATTCTAAGACATTTACTGTGCTCAGTTAGATAATTGTTCAATTGGCATCAGTATGATGAAAAGTTTCCAGAGTGAAATCTCAAGTGATATAGACTATAGAAGATATTGTACCATACAAGTGTAATGGTCAAAGGTGATACAATCATCCCGGTTTACGGTATAAATTGGCAAACCTAAGAAAGAATGGAGTTAAAGCGCCTGAATCACTTTGCACGTGTTTTGATCACTTGAAATGTATGGTTCTGAGAAATGTGTGAAAAGTTGTGACAGAAAATATGCTCTCATAATATAAATGCACATGCATCAACAGCCCCAGCCCCCAACACTTTTAATCCATTTCTTAGGTTTGCCATACTATAGTATTTCATTGTAAGGTTCATGTGCCCAGTGACTGACCAAATTAATCTGCCCAAAAACTTGACCAATCTGGAATCTCTGAGGGCCTGAGGCAAAAACAGCACAACTGGTCACATGGCCAGGTGCGTGTTTAAATGTGCTAATGCAGTGTGTGAAATATCACAGCAATTATTTCCACTGCAGTTAATTATTCACAAACACCAAAGCTTGACTAGGTAACCGTAGGTCCATCGGTATACATCGGTATTGTGTATGTCAATTGTCAAGTTTAGGTCCTAACAACAATTGTGACAAGTACAATTGATACAAATTTGTAACAGCAAAAATTTTATGTTTTAGGTCGTAGGTAGATAGGTTTGAAGGTTTTAGGTCATTAGGTTATAGGTGTGTAGGTAGTAGGTTGGTAGGTTATACGTAAATAGGTAAGGTAAGATCAGGTTTGATTGTGTTTTTTCTTTTATTTGCTAGTCATATAAGTATCATTTTTTGATTCAGGATGTCAAATAATGTAAGAATATGAAGAAAAAAAATTATCCATGAAATCTGCTTAGTGCTTAGGACTTAACTTAATCTTGACATTTACCGGTACTTCAATATGAGCCGATATGGCGGATATAGCCAAGGTAAGTTGTTCCGAGGCTCTCGGACACCAAAGATTCTATGTTGTCCAGCCAATCCTGTTCAAGGTCAGCAGGTGCTTGGCTGCCGTTATGGAAAAGGATTTGCCGGATGATGTAGAATCATTCTTCATCATGCGAGACTCCGAACAAGGGCTGGAATCTGAAAACAGGGTGCCTGCCGCCTGGGGCAATTTGATCGGTAAAAGTATACATTTAGTCCGAGTGACTGTTAAAAGATAAAGTTTTCATATTCTTACATTATTTGACATCCTGAATCCAAAAATGATACTTATATGTCCTGGAAATAAAAGAAAAACATAATCAAACCCAGGCATCGGTAGGATTGTGATTGCAGGATTGCAAAATCCTGATTGCATTCCTTTTTGGTGGATTGCACCTGGATTTGAAATCCATTCCAAAAAACAGGATTTGATTGCGGATTGGATTGCATCATATTTCCAATTTTTGCAATCCAATCCGGATTGTGTTTGATAAGTGCTTTGAAATGGTTTGTTGCGATTGAAAATTATGAGATCGGCTTCATCGGCTTAATGTACTTTGCTATCAAGGGCTTTACATCGAAACTTGAAATAATTCAAACGCTTTTAATTTAAACGCTCAAAATAATATACGCTGATGAACTACATAGGAAGGGCAAAATTACGTATTTGAGGGCGAGTTTTAAAAAAATATAAAACACTGGTTGGGTAGAGGTTTAAATGTGGGGGTGTTTGACGCAAAAAATATTTCCCATAAAATACCTGTGCCTTAGATAGGAATTACTCGCAAGACTAGGTACTAGAAATGGGTGATTTGGGGATGGAGGCACGGCCATATGCCACCCTCCCTCCCCCAGATCCACTAGTGCACATAATGATACAACAGGATTGCAAAAAAGGATTGCGGATTTGATCACAATCCAAGTGAAAAAGGGGATTGCGGGTAGGAATGCAATCCACTTCGGCACAAGGAATGTGGATTGGGAATGCAATCCTTTCAAAAAGGATTTTCCCGATGCCTGATCAAACCTGACCTAACCTTACCTACTTGCCTACAACCTACCAACCTACAACCTACAAACCTACAACCTAACCTAACCTAACCTACAAACCTACAACCTAAAACCTAAAACCTACAAACCTACAACCTAACCTAACCTAAAACCTAAAATTTTTGCTGTTACATATTTGTATCAACAGCGTCACAATTGTCCACTCGGACCTAATATATACTAATACCATTTGATCAAGGCTCTTGAAATTATCACTTGAAAACCCTGAGCTTCAAGGCATTAAATGGTGGATAATTTAACACGTGACTTATATGCCCTCCGGCGCCCTCGTCTCTTATTCCACCGAGCGCGGGTATCTGATCTGTGCGTCGGTTTCGTCGAAGGCAGGGTTTTGGGCATCCACAACTCTCGACAGGCCTTACAATTCCGGGTATAGGATGCAAACATATCATGAATGGTGCATGTGTAATCATTGAAAAAAACTTACCTTGAACTAGCTTCCTCCGTACCTAAACTATGGAAGCCGGTCGCCGCGGAGACCACGACCTCAACGCCCGCGCTTTTTTGTTGACAGCCAAGGCTATATAAACCAGGTAGAACGCTCCGGGAAAAAAGTTGGAAACAATAAATTAGTTGCGGCATTCCCTGATGACGCGAATGTGGGTCAGCGGCCGGCGGCCGGCGGCCGCTAACACTGTATGAGGAGGGATGCGCGGAACTTTTGCTTGTTGGTGATTGCGCTAAGCAGTTTTTTTTTTTTATAAATTTAGTCCGAACCTTTTGATGGGAAGGATTCACAAGGACAGAGCCACCGCTAAGCGAAGCTTGTTGCGATGACCCTGCCCTCTACCCTCCGATCGCGCAATTCCGATTCTATGGCAGAATTTAGAGTCCAAAGTTTAACGTGCGCACAAAGCCGCGCACGGCCGGTCCCCTCGCTGACTTCGCCTGGCTACGGCCTGCCACCAACCGCAACCATACCTGTCAGGAGGCCCATAAATGTCGAGCGCCCGTCGCGCTTCGAACCCGGACTGTCATAACCGGGAACGCGTGCTCTCACCACGCGGAGTCCAACGCTCTAACCAACTGAGCTACGGGACCGGCTGTTAATGGTAATGTTAGGATATGTTTCGAAAGTAAATTGAACGACGCTTCGAACGCCGTCAATGAATTTGCGATACGACGACTATTTGTTTCGTTAGAGCCGGCGAACTTTTACCTTCCGACCGCGCGCGGAGGCGATATGGTGCCACACTGGCGGTTTTTACGATAGCTCAAAATTCTTTTGAGATAAAGAGATGAAATTTGACATGTCCTATCTTTTGATCAAGCTGGATCTTATGGTACAAGTTGCATATTTAAGGTAGGTCAGGTTGTTGACCTATGTTGTCGCTCGTGAGCCTCTGCACAGTCCAAAAACAACGCAATTTCTGAACACTCAGTGCCAAGCAATCCTTCACAGAAAGATGACACTTGGCAGAAAGAAGAGTTGTCGGTTTCTTACCGTTCGTATGTGTCGTGTTTTCACAAGAGTTTAGTAAGATCAGGTCCGTCACGTGACCTCCCCTCATAACTCAATAGGTTTACTATCATAGAAGCGTTTATCAATCGCCGGAAATCTTAGCCAATCCCACTGGACACTGGATCCATACCCACATGGGGCCCTCCTGACTGGCCACTCCCTCTGAAATCCACAATAACATTGGGCTGCGGCCACGGTTATGTATTAATGCTTTTCACTAACAGAAATACAACTTCAACCAGCACAGTGCACGCCGCCACAACAGTCCGACCCACGTCCCTGATATCGACTAGCTCCCGGCCGGATGCACATACGCGGAGCCAATCAGTCCGAATGTGACCTGCAGCTTACAATTGCTGTGTCGCATGGCGCATAGCACAGGACGATTCCTAGCAGCTGTCGGCTGGAGTGGAGAAACAGCACGTTGCGACACACCGCGCCGGCGACAGAGCTCAGCAGGGCTGGTTGGAGGCTGGAGCCGGAGGTAACGGCGGACACAGGCACAGACATTGCAGGACAAATAACAGGATGTCAGTTAGGGATATAATTCAAGACGAATGATTCAAGACGGACTGAAATAATACACATTTTGCTCACTTGGATACCAACTTCAAACTTGACGTTTATGTATAGCACCATGGAAACAATGGGCACACAGGAAAGAAACAAAAGATGAGGGTTTTTTAACTCAAGGAAGTAAAACAGCCCGAAGTGCAGACAAGCACATACTTTTGGTAATAGGTATCAGCTGTCCTACTCCTCTTTTCCCTTCATCAACTACTGGACACATTTGAAGCATCATATATAGCACCAATGTCCATAACCAAAGCTTGCAAGTAGTTTTAACTTCTATGAAGCCAAGGGACATGTGCCTACATCATGCATGTAAACTCAAAATTACACATGCATGACAAAGGAAGCTTATGTAAAGAGAATAGTTGACAAAAGCATCTAATGGTTAAAATTATTCAAAACTGCACACAGGGCAAACATAAAAAGCAGCAAGTGTACTGTTCTGTTATGCTAAGAAATAATCCAAAACAAAATACAATCTTTTCATGTTTGAACTGGTTGTTCTTCTATGCCCCTTCATCCATATCTTGATTACAGATGGGCTTTTACTGTAGGCTGATGAAGTGACACTTGATTGCCTTTGTGCGAGTTTCAGTTGCAGCCTCCTTGGTACTGCACTGGAAAGCAGATTGATTTGAATGCCTCTGAAAGCTAGGAATACAGGCAGGGTTAGCTGTAGTAGTGTCAATGATAATAGACATGACATTTTTGTCCAATTTGACATGCATTTGTTGAAGTACAAAAAGGTACAAAATAAATTGGTTTGTTTCAAGACACGCACACTGCACAAAGCCGCACAGACATTACACAGGCATATGAAATTGGTACACATAAAATTTGATGATTAAAAAGGTCAAAACTTGCAATAATAATTGAAGTAAAAGTTACAATCACAATCGTTTGATTTAAAATGACTTGACATAAGTCACAAGACGCAACGCTCCTATTCTTTTATGCTTTCATTATCCTCCACATATCAACCAGCTTGATACCAGGCTGTGCAATAGTGTGTACATAACCCCATGTTACCATTTTATTAGAGCAAGTGGGGTTACAACAACAATGCTAATGTCAAACCCACATCTCAATCTGCAACCCGTACTGCAGTTTCAATCACCTTACAAGAGTTACAAGCACACCTTCTGGCAGTTTGATAGGCAGAATGGTCATTACTACTTTCTTCTCATATTCAACACATATTCCCTTTATACAGATACAGTTTAGACCTGGTTATGGCAAGCACTTTCGAGAAAAGATATGATTAAAGTCCAAGACAAAGGTCGAGAGAAACAACACCAACATAAAACACTGACTATGTAGCACTAATACTGTCAAATTCATAAAAATATATACATGAGTCGATCAGAAATTCACTGTAGATTTCGAAAATGGTGTCAAATGCCACTCAAATACCCCCATTCGCATGTACGAAGCAATAAAACACTGACCTTCAATTCCGCGTGCCATTCTCCATAGGCCACTGTGTATTAAATAACGCGTTCACTGATAGCAAAAAATGAGACCCACATATGACGCGTTTGCTACCAGCCAATCAGCGCTCGAGTTACCGAGCGCTGATTGGTGGAGAGGGCCGTCGTCAGCAGCTAATTACACGTTGTTTTCCTTGAACATGTGCGTGAGCGCTGATGCTGCTCACGGGCTGTTGCCATTTTTCGTAATGCTGAAGGCACGGGAGCGAACCCCCCTGTTGACAGCCAAGCAGCAGCGATTCCAATTCCAAGGATGGAAGAATTACGGGAGTGTCTAAAAAGCAGACGAGATTAGCAGACGAGCCCATGCTCAGTAACTACTCGAATGATTTTGATAATTCTTTCACCATTCAATAGCAAGGAACTTATATAGGTGCCGTTTTTTTCGTTTTTTGGCGATTGGCTCACTCTGACTGGACCAATCGGACCAAAATGGTCTAGAACCATAGACCCCCTTAACCCTCGCACCGACGGGGGGGGGCGGATATCCGCCCCCCCTGAGGTTTTTCGCGAATAGCGGGAAAACCGCGGCGCGTAGCGCCGCGAAATTTGGTATGACTATAACCTCATCAATTTTACACATGGTGTGCAAGTTTGAACCTCCTACCTTTTAAGGTCAGGTCACCAGGTCACTTTGAATGACCCAACCTCAAGTCACTTTTTGCAACTTTGTCACCGTGCCAGAGCTACAGTAGATGTCGGAGGCCTTTGAAAGTCGCAGGATATTATTAGGTCATTAGTAGCTACAATTTGTATATCTCGGAATTTTGATATCGGTGACCTAAGGTCAGGTCAATTCCGCGACCTCCCCATTATAAGTCAATGGGGGAAAATCAACTCCCTGTTTTTACCACTAAAACGGGTCGGAATGGCCCCATATACCATACATGACTTCATATACGATCAACCTTCACTACCTTGAGGTCTGTTTTGCTGTTGGGCAGCTGTGAGGTCATGTGACGTCATCAAAGGTCACCAAAGGTTTTTGGCCAATAACTCCGTACAGGAACAAGATACAGACGCGTGGATGGTCTAATTGTGTTCAGCTCGTCAAGACGCATCGAATGATATACATGATGACCTCGAGATCACGTGACCTGAGGTCAACCTTTGACCTTGACCTTTCGAGGTCAACATATATATCATTCGATGCGGATTGACGAGAGGATCACGATGATGCCCTTAGTTTGTTCCTATCTTGACTAATTCGAAAGTTATTCGAGAAAAACTCTCTCCATATCTAGCGCCGCCATTTTGACTTTTTCGACCCCTGTGACGTCATCTTTGACCTGACCTGAAAATGACCTTTGTAAAAATTGTAGATCTTGGCCGTGCGTATCCGATGCCGTTTACCGCTTGTCGCTATCTTGCTTCGTTCTCGAGATCTCAGGGGGGGGGGGCGGTCATCCGCCCCCCCCCCGTCGGTGCGAAGTTGGCGCAGACCCCCGTCGGTGCGCAGGTTAAAAGCAGAACAGCCCATGCTCCGAAACTGCTGGGCCGATTTCAATGAAACTTTCACCATTCGACGCGCCGTGGTCTGAAACAGTGCCGTTTATGATAATTTTTTGATTGGTCCACCCTAGGTGGTCCAACTCGGTCCAAAACCCCTAAAATATGTTGCAGACGAGCCCATGCTCCGAAACTACTGGTCCTGGACCGATTTCGTTGAAACCTTCACCATTAGACGCGCCGTGGTCTGAAACTGTGCCGTTTTTAATACCTTCCTAATTTTTTTGATTGGTCCACCGTAAGTGGTCCAAATCGGTCCGAAACCCCAAAAATCTGTTGCAGTAAATGCCAGTAATAAATACTCCGAAACTACTGGACCGATTTCGATGAAACCTTCGCCATTAGACGCGCCGCTGTCTAAAACGGTGCCGTTTTTTTTATACATTTTTGATCGGTCCACCGGCACCCTAAGTGGTCCAAATCGGTCCAAAACCCCTAAAAACTGTTGCAGACGAGCCCATGCTCCGAAACTGCTGGACCGATTTCATTGAAACCTTCACCATAAGACGCGCCATGGTCTGAAACGGTGCCGTTTCTGATTTTTTTTATTGGCCGTCACTCTAAAAGGTCCAAATCGGTCCAAAACCCCTAAATTCTGTTGCAGACGAGCCCAGGCTCCGAAACTACTGGACCGATTTAGATGAAACCTTCACCATTAGACGCGCCGTGGTCTGAAACGGTCCCGTTTTTGATATTCTTATTGGTCCTAAGTCCTAATGGTCTACCTACCTAATGGTGAAGGTTTCTGATCGAAGTCAGTCCAGTTGTAGTTCCGGAGCATGGGCTCGTCTGCAACAGATTTTAGGGGTTTTGTACCCATTTGGACCACTAAGGGTGGACCAATAAAAATTGTCAAAAATGGCACCATTTTAGAATAGGCCCGCGCCCGCCATACCCATAAGCGACTGCTGGGCTGGTGAGACCATAGGTATCTTGGTGAGACCTATCTGTAAGAATCTTGGGTGAGACCAACACAGCAAGCAACACGCCACCACTCGATGTGCATATCGTTGACCAGTGACCTTATGAGGTCAACTCGACATTTTGGCCTGTAGTTAGTCAGGCTATAGGTACCCAGCAGCAGCAACTATTGGGCCGATCAAGACGAAAACGCCACCCCGCACCAATCGATTTGCCGTAGGTACCCATGCTAATTATAGGTATGCGGATTCATCGGCCCTTTTGAATATCATGAATTTTGGTAATCTCGGTGACCACGAGTAATCACGATCGAGAGATCACGATCACGATAATTTTTTTAGCCTATTGCAGTGATCCCATCAAGATGGAGAGGTCGCAAAATTGGCCTGACCTTATGTCACTCAACTGAGGTCATTTTTTAATAAAAATTCTGAACTTGGGTCGCACTTTGACTGGCTTGACGGACAGCATGAACGGATCACTGCACCGCCATGTTGTGGATTAGCTTATCAAAATATCCGCGGAATAGTGCCCAACTGTCTATGAGGATCCGATGGCCTGGGTCGTCGGCGAAACGCAAACACTGGTCAGAGCCGTGGTCCGCCTTATCGTATGCGTCTATCTGACACAGATCACTGCCATCGTGTCCAGTCATGGTGAGCGCGGCAGGTCGGTACTTGGGTGAGACTCCCGGGCGGCGCGGGAGACGGGGCGATAGGACGCGTTATCTGCCGGACCGCGGAGGGTCGGCCCGCTCGACTCTCCCAGTCACCTCTCGGCGGCGCGCCGTGTCCGAGCACGGGTCAGCGGGTCAGCGGCACAGGTCAGTCCCTCTCAGACGGCGGCAGTCATGGGTGTCGAAATCTACGGCAACGAGGGCAGCCCGGCGTGCCGGTGTGTGTTCCTGGTAGCGCGCGCCATCGGGCTCGACTACACGCTAAAGCCGACCAACCCGATGGCCGGCGAGACGCGCACCGAGGAATTTCTGCGCATGAACCCGGCGCACACGATCCCCACGATGGCCGACGACGGCCTGTTCCTGGGCGAGAGCCGCGCCATCGCCACCTACCTGGTCAACAAGTACGCGCCCGAGAGCGAGCTGTACCCGCGCGAGCCGGCCGCGCGCGCTGTCGTCGAGCAGCGGCTCTTCTACGACGTGGGTCTGTTCGCGGCGCTGCGCTCCGTGCTGGGAGCGCTGCTCTACTTCAAGAGCCCGGAGCAGTTCGAGGCCGCGCTGCCCCAGGTAGACGAGTGCATGGAGCTGCTGGAGACGTTCCTGAAGCGCTCGCCGTTCGTGGCCGGCGACCACGTGACCGTGGCCGACCTGGCCATCGTGGCCAACGTGTCCACCATCGAGGCTGCCGAGCTGGACCTGTCGCGCTGGACGCGCGTGCAGCGCTGGCTGGCCAAGATGAAGACGCTGCCGTACTACAGCGTCAACGAGGCGGGCGCCCAGTACCTCGGCGGCGTCTTCAAGAAGGCGCTCTTTCAGGCCAGGAAGGCCAAGTTCTCGGCATCGTAGAGACGCCGGGCTCTGAGAGTTAGTTTGTCACCTTTCCACTTCCTCTGTGGCCCGATCATCTGCCGCTGGTCAGGATTCTAACGTCACCTACATCCGCACCGTAAAGTTATAACGGGGAGCTACGGCGCCAATGCTCCAGCCTACGTTGTTTCCGTGTTATCAGGTAAACTTACTTACTTATGTTATTTACTTATGATGTGTAAATGCGCTGTTCCCGACGTCTAAATACAGTGATATGATGCACCCTGCCAGCTCCATCGTCTTATTACGAGACTCACGACCCATCCAGTCTCGCTAACTTACAGCGGGCACGCTTGTTAGTTGTTCTGTGCATACACTTTCAGGCACCTGGTAAGTGCACCTAAACCGACGTGTGTGCCAATAAGTTATCATCCATTTACTTCTTTGATGCAAAAGCGTATGATTCCTGTTTCACCATTAGGTATACGCAGAAAGTCGACAACTACCTACATATATAGGTATATGCAAGCTTAGCGTTGTAATCATCATCGATCCGGACGCGAGTTACCTAAGTGTGGAACTACAAGTCGATTCTAGGGCTCTGATTGGTGACTTTGGTCGGGGGATGACGCTTATAGCATGACGTCACTCGCGTACTTGGCCGGACCAACGGCGCGGCGCAGGCGCGCCGAGCCAACCCAGAGGCTCTCAAACTCAATTGTACAGATCCTGCGCATTGAATGGCGAAACTTCGGCGAGTTCGCTTGAGTTTGGAAGCCCCTGCCAGAGAACTGGAGACGGCCGGATTATTTGCTGGACAGTGGGCAGCGCAGATGGCGATTGACGGTGCCAAAAAGATGATAGGGAAAAGGGGTTGAGACTTGAGCAGTGAATTATAAGCCTGTTGCATAGCTGAGTGGTAAATTGTAAAATACTTAAGGTTTGAAGAGATGCAGTGTAGTTTAGCCGACTCAGGGGCATTCTGCCGAGTTATGTAAGGCGGAAGGGTCGCAACTCGCAAGTCGTTTGTTTACATGATTGCCTGATTAAAATGTAAAGCGTACCTAATGTTTAGTTGATAATACAGCGAGGTTGGGCATCTGCTCAATCCATTTCTTCTCTGCAATAGTGCATTCGCCACTGTAATTCTTTGTAAGAGGCACTGGGCTGCGCCGCCTGTTAATTATTCCGAAACCACCAGTGAATTGTCACAGTCACTCACAACAATACGAATCGTTCAGTCGTGCGCTGGGGGTCCGCCAAGTTTGAGTGTGCTGCAGAATGCAGACTGGACCGCCGAGAATACCTATAGCACTTCCGTCTCCCTGGGCGAGCGGCGCATTGGAGCCGAAGGAAACTGCTTCAGTTTTTTGTGGGGAAGATACCCATGTTTGAAAATTATGTTCTGGAATGATGCGATAAGGAAAAGGACGGTTTCTTGAATTGAGGGCTGTGGAGAAGAAGCAGATTTTCTCATTTGCTACCCGATACAACGCGAAAAGACGCAAATGTTGCACATTGGGCTTGATAAGTCTAATAAAAGATAAGGGACTTCGTGAATCATGCCTAACTGACCGCGACCCAGTTATTTGCCATTGCAGGTAGGTACTAGGTAGGTAGGTAGATACTCATTTGTAAACAGAGCGTTCCACCAACCCTCGCCAGAAATTCAATCAGCAGTTGCTTATCTTAAAACGTTTGAGTGCACCTAACAACCTTTAAAAATGACGTCCTCCCTTTCAATGGTTCGTTCGAAGACACAAAGCCAGAATCAGCCAAGCAATATCGGAATCCATTGCGCAGTGTGTCGACTGTCGGATGTGCCCATCCACATAGCATAGCATACACTGCTAAATGCAGGTACGCTCACCTACACATTAGGTATTCGAAGGACTTGATAGCTCATACACATGGAAGAAACGCATGAAATGTGATTAATAGCTGCAGCAGAAGTTTGGCGTCCGATGCCTCTTCGCCAAGTTAAGACCATGCCAATCTCGGCCAGTCTGCCGCCGCGCCGGCACTGGCCGTGGTGTGACGTCATCCGGCCGGCTCGGCGCTGGGTAGTTCCACACTTAGGTAACTCGCGATCCGGACAGTGCCGGGATATAAAAGAATAGTTAGATATACGTAATTTAACGTAAACGTTATACCTGTAGTTTGGTTTTCAAATGACCTTTTCCTCGATATTGTTTCATATGGCTTGAGAATGAACTGCTGTTCGAAAATTTGCCGAACGATATAATATTTGCTTTTTATCGCATTTTCAATTAATTATCGAGGAAAAGGTCATTTGAAAACCAAACTACATATGTCAAGATGTTTCTCGCTAGAGCACTGCATACTATTTATTCATAAACGTTATACCTATAGGATATTTGTTGCGAAAAATATTATAGGTACGCGTTGAACCCAAATGCGTTTTACCACCCTCACAATTTGCTTAGGTATGCTAGTTTTATTTCATTTGACACCTTTCGCTACACATACAAGCAGGATAGATGCAATAACGTTCAACCTGGTTCTTTTTTCCATATAGTTAGTCACAGTTTATTTGTAAAGAACGCTTCAATTCTCTTACGCCGTATTTACCCAAGGTATCTACAATCTCCTAGGTAAGTAGGTAGGTACAATCTTTAAAACGCCTCGTGACACGTTACGCATGTTATCTTTTTCCTTTTGAGTGGCCTTCCAAGCCGACATGCAGATAATCATAAGTGGTCTGGTCTCTGGTTTCGAGTTTTCGACCGTTTTAAGTGTGCCCCGCCACTGTTGGTATGTAAGTACATAACTTTAAGGTATGGTAAGTGGTTGATTCGTGGGTGCAACTGTCCTATAGTTACGGGGCTGAGGATGGATATCTAGGTCTCCAAATAGGCACCCGTAAAGCAGACACATCTCTCCGTTCCGTCGTTTCTATCCTCAGGATACTAAACTCCTCCACTCCGCAACCCCGCTCCGGGCTGGACAGGCACCTTCATCTCATGCGGGCTGCTCCCTTGGAGCGGCACCGCTGCTCCCGAGGGAGCGCACTCCGTAGTCGGGTGCAGAGTGCTTGGGGGGCTGGTCGGCCTGTCCATTCGGACGGGCTCAGCCCCGGCGACTCTCTAGGGTGTTTGCCCAGACCAATGTCTCCCCCAAATTCCTAGCATCCTTCCGGCTCTGAAATGGTCTTGTCAGACCAAAAGAGCCTAACCCAACACAACAAAGCAGACACATCGTAGTCCAGGCTGTGATGCACTTTGTAAGGCCTCGCTTGAGCAGCATTACGCAGATTTTTATGCATACGAAACAAATTTCAGTTTTGTACTCGACCGTTTATTTGTTAGGTACTGTGTTTAATTTGGCTGTGTAGGAACCCTTTCGCAGTTACAGTTATCACGCTCAAAACGCCTAAAATAGCATGATTAGCTTCAAACCTAATCAGATAAACTATTACACTCAACTCAAATTGTTTATTTGCACCCTCGACTGTGCTGGAAGTAAAGTTAATACACTGTTACAATGCCATTCACCAGCGATTGGTGATGTCACCATACGATTCAGGCAATTCTACCTGTAGTTACGCTAGCGTCTAATGGATGCATCCCATACACATGCAATAATTGTAGCTGTAGGATCACAAAAACAAGCGATTCAAAACGTTCAGCTAATCTAAAATGCATATCGTGTCTGCATGAATGCACGCAACATGCGTGCATTTACAGCAGCCCGGTATGTAGGCTGGACAGATCAACAATGGACCCGTCACTCCGTGTACCGGTGACCTGAAGACCCACTCGCATTTGTGACCCATTTCTCGGCTCGGTTATCGGCCGGTTATCGGCTCGGTTATCGGCCGGAGCTACACTGCCGCCGATCCTATCATCGCGCGTAACATGGTTCCCCGGCCGGTTCACGGTTCACCGGCCGGTTCAGCCACCGCCTCCCTCCCGGCCCGACCCGCCGCTACCTCCCGATTTCCTCCCAGCTCAGTAGAACGTCATCCTCTCGGTTTAGTAGAATGCCTACTTTTTGTCTCAGTAGAATGCCTACCTCCCGGCCCAGTAGACCGTCGTCCTCCTGACCCAGACACCGCCTCTCCGTCGGCCCAGTCGGAAGCCTCTCTCCCGACCCAGCAGAAAGCCCCCCTCCCTCTTTAGTTGTCAGTAGAACCGCCTGCCGGCAGCCCGTTTCCCGGCGGCCGGCGCGGCGGTCTCCCGGTGTTCGGCAGCGTCCCCGAACTGCCGCGTCGGCGCCGGCAGCGCGCGGATCATGGCCTTCACGGCGGCGGCGATCTCGCGGCCGCTGGGCTCGATCTCCTCGGCCGGCAGCAGGAAGCCGTGCGCGCCCTTGTCGCGCAGCTCGAACGTGTAGGTGAAGCGCACGCCGGCCACCGCCTTGGCCCAGTCGTCGGAGACGCCGGACAGCTGGTTGTACGGGGTGGTGCGCGGGATGCTGAACTCGCGTCCGGAGGCGGCGCGCAGGGCGGCCACGCCGCGCTCGGCCACCGCCCGCACCTCGTCGTAGTCGTCCGGCTTCTGTATTGTGAAGGCGTACGGCACAAACAGCAGCTCCGAGTAGCTGTCGACGAGAAAGGGGAGGGTCGGAGAGGTCATGGATCAGGGGGATAATGCTGTTAGCGTAGTCCAAGGTCAGACTGACCGGTGACGGATAATGTATCAAACAGTAGTGTTCCAAAAAATGGCATGTACCAGAAATGATAAGAAAATGGAAGCAAGCTGAACGTATGTTAAAACCCGCGCCCCGTAGGGGGGGGGGCGAAACTGCCCCCCCCTGTCCTTTTCGGTCGAACCAAACTGTAAGGACCCCTTCGGGCATCAATTTTACACATTGTGACCAAAATTTTCCAGAGGCTATGATAGGTTGGCCACAAATGACGTCAGAATGACATCATGTTCTGTCATTTTCGAACGAAAAAAGACCTTCGCGAGAAGACCTGTCAGGCCTACAGCTTTGAAGATACAGAAAAATGATCCAGACATAAAAGGTGTAGAATTGATAGGGCTACAAAAGTGCTATCTCAGATATTTGAAATTTTTGGATTTTGACCCCCAAAAATCAAAAAAGCATTTTTTGGCTATATTAGCCAAAAAATCCAAAAAGTTTTTTGAGTTTCGAAAAAAACGGAATATATGTGATAGTACCTACCGTCTTCTATTTCCATATCAAATTTCAGATCGATACCTCAATTTTTGGCCAAGTTATAGCGAAAAAACTGTTCAAAAATGATGACGTCAAGTTTTCAAACTCAATTTTTGGCAATTCTAGGCCTCGTAGAGCAAAACAA